TCATCATCATTAGCCATCAGGGAAATCCAAATCAAAACCACACTGAGATACCACCTTACACCAGTGAGAATGACCAAAATGGACAGGGAAAGAAACAACAAATGTTGGAGAGATTGTGGAGAAAGGGGAACCCTCTTACACTGTTGGTGGGAATGCAAGTTGGTACAGCCACTTTGGAAAAACAGTGTGAAGGTTCCTCAAAAATTTAAAAATAGAGCTACCCTATGACCCAGCAATTGCACTCCTGGGTATTTACCCTAAAGACAGATGTATTGAAAAGAAGGGCCATATGCACCCAGTGTTCATAGCAGCAATGTCCGCAATAGCCAAACTGTGGAAAGAGCCGAGATGTCCTTCAACAGATGAATGGATAAAGAAGATGTGGTCCATATATACAATGGAATATTACTCAGCCATCAGAAAAGATGAATACCCAACTTTTACATCAACATGGATGGGACTGGAGGAGATTATGCTAAGTGAAATAAGTCAAGCAGAGAAAGTCAATTATCATATGGTTTCACTTATTTGTGGAACATAAGGAACTACATGGAGGACATTAGGAGAAGGAAGGGAAAAATGGGGGGGGGAGCACTGGAGGGAGAGATGAACCCTGAGAGACTGTGGACTTGAGAAACAAACAGGGTTTTAGAGGGGAGGGGGGATTGTTTAGCCTGGTGATGGGTATTAAGGAGGGCACCTACTGCATGGAGCAATGGGTGTTATACAAAAGCAATGGATGATGGATCACTACATCAAAAACTAATGATGTATTGTTTGGTGACTAACATAACATAATAAAATTAAATAAATAAATAATAAATAAATAAATATAATAATAAATATATTTAAAAAAAAAATAAAGTTTGAACAGACTGATTATGAGTTAGGAGATTGACTCAGGGTTTAAAAACCTTCCAGGACCAGATGCCTTCATGGACGAGTTTTACCAAAATTTTAAGAAGAATTAATGCCAACCCTTCTCAGACTCCTCCAGAAAAATTGAAGGGGAGGGAACACTTTCAAACTCATTCTGTGAGGTCAGTATTACCCTGATACCAAAGCCAGGTAAGGATACTATAAGAAAAGAAAACTGTAGACCGATATCCTAATGAATATTGAAGCAAAAATTCTCAAAAAAAAATATTAGCAAACCAAACCTAAGAACTCATTAAAAGGATTACACACCATGACCAAGTGGGATTTCTCCCTGGCATGCAGGGATAGTTCATCATATGCAAATCAAATGTGGTACACCATATTAGTGGAATGAAAGACAAAAATCATTAAACTTCTCAACAGATGAAGTAAAAGCATTTGACAAAATACAACATCCTTTCATGATAAAAACCCTCAATAGAATAAGTATAGGAGGAACATACATCAGCATAATAAAACCATATATGTTACCCACGGTTAATATTGTATTCAACAGAGAAAAATCAAAAGCTTTTCCTCTAAAATCAGGAACAAGACAGGGGTGCCTGCCTATTCTCCTCATTCTTATTTAACATAATACTGGCAGTCCTAGCTAGAGTAGTCAGGCAAGACAAATTAAAAGGTATCCAAATCAGAGAGGAAAAAGTAGAATTGTCATTGTTTGCAGATGATGTGATCTTGTATATTGAAAATCCCAAATTCTCAATATATTGGATTTAATCAGTTGGAAAAAGAACTATTGGATGTAGTCAATGAATTCAGTAAAGTTGCAGGATCTAAAATCAACACACAAATCAGTTCCTTCTCTATGCACTAGCAATGAAATATCTGAAAAAGAAATGAAGAAAATATCCATTCACCCTAACATCAAACACAATAAAATATCTAAGAATTAGTTTAGCCAAGGAAGTAAAAGATTTAGACAATCAAAATTACAAGTCTTTGTTTAAAGAAATTGAGGAAGACATGAACAATTGAAAAGATATTAACTCTTCTGATCAGTGATTGTGAAATATCATTAAAATGGTCATGCTCCACAAAGCCATCTCTGGATTTAATGCAATCCCTATCAAAATTCCAGTAGCATTTTCTACAGCAATAGAATAAATCCTAAAATATGAATGAAACCAAAAAAGACCTTGAATAGCCAAAGCAATCATTAGAAAGAAGAACAAAGCAGGATGCATCACACTTCCTGATTTCAAACTATCCTACAAAGTGATAATAATTAAAACGGTATGGTACCAGCATAAAAATAGACACGTAGATCAGTTGAACAGAATACAGGACCCCAGATTTAAACCTCTACATACATTGCCAACTGATACTTGGTAAAGGAGCCAGGAACATCCAATAGGGAAAATGTAGTCTTTTGGGGCAAATGATGTTGGGAAAACTGGATAGCCACATGCAGGAAAATGAAATTGGGACCCCTACCTTACTCCACTCACAAAAATTATCTCAAAATGGATCAAAGACTTAAACATAAGACCTGATGCCATAAAACTCCTAGAAGAAAACGAGGGAAGAAGTTCCTTGAGATTGGCCTTGGCAGTAATTTTTTGTGGAGGACACCAAAAGAACAAAAGTAAAGGAAAAAAAAAGATTTATGCGATCTGAAGAGAAACCAAGAAAGACATGTATCATATGATCTCACTGATACAAGGAATTCTTAATCTCAGGAAACAAACTGAGGGTTGCTGGAGTGGTGGGGGGTGGGAGGGATGGGGTGGCTGGGTGATAGACACTGGGGAGGGTATGTGCTATGGTGAGTGCTGTGAATTGTGTAAGACTGTTGAATCACAGACCTGTACCTCTGAAACAAATAATACATTATATGTTAAAAAAGAAGAAGAAGATAGCAGGAAGGGAAAAATGAAGGGGGAAAATTGGAGGGGGAGACGAACCATGAGAGACTATGGACTCTGAGAAACACTACATCAAAAACTAATGATGTAATGTATGGTGATTAACATAACATAATATAATAATATAACATAATAAAATAATTTGTGATTATATATGTGTATAATATATATTATAAATATATATAAATATAAATTATATTATAAATTATATTATTATAATACAAATTATATAAATAATATAATTTGTGATTAACATAACATAATAATATAACATAACATAAAAATAAATAAAGTCCCCCCAAAAAAAGTAAAGGAAAAAAATCAGTAAGTGGGACAACATCAAACCTAAAAGCTTCTGCACTTCAAAAGAAAAAAACAAAATGGAAAGGCAACCTACAGAAGGGAAGAGAATATTTGAAAACCATATATTGGAAAAGGGGTTACTATTCAGCATTTACAAAGAACTTGGACAACTCAACAGAAAAAAAAGTCCGATTAATTCTTCCAAAGAAGATTGTACAGATGGCCAACTGGGACATGAAAAGATGCTCAACATCAGTAATCATCAGGGAAATGCAAATCAAAACTACAATGAAATATGACCTCACACCTGTCAGAATGGCTATCATCAAGAAGACAAGAGATAATAAGTATTGATGAGGATGTGGAGAGAAGAACTTTGATACACAGTTGGTGGGAATGCAAACTGGTGCAGTTACTATGGAAAACAGTAGAGAGGTTCCTCAAAAAATTACAATTAGAGCTATCATATGATCTAGTAATCCCACTTTTGGGTATATATTCAAAGGAAATGAAAACAGGTTATCAAAGAGATATCTGCATTCCCATGTTGATTTCTGCATTATTCACAATAGCCAAGATATGGAAACAACTTAAGTGTCTGTCAACAAATGAATGGATGAAGAAGATGTATACACACACACACACACGTCCCTTAATGTGGAATCTGAAACTAAAAAAAAAAAACCCAGAATGAAATGGTGGTTACCAGGGGCTGGGGTGGCAGAAATGGTAGAGATAATGTTTAAGGGTACATAATTGCACTTACGAGATAACTAAGTCCTAGAGGTCTGATACACAGTGCAGGGACTACAAACAGAACTTTATTGTAAACCTTAAAATTGCTAAGAGACTAGGTCGTTAATTGTTCCCACCACTAGAAGGAGTGACAGTTATGGGATGTTATTGAGATGTTAGCTCATGCTACAGAGGCAATTGTATTGCAGTATAAATGTGAAAATCAATATGCTGTACACCTTAAACTTACACAATATTATATGTCAGTTAATCTCAAAAAATAGACAATAACAAGTGCTTGTGAGGATGTGGAGAAATTAGAACACTTGTGATGATGGTGTGAATGTAAAATGATGGAGCTGCTATGGAAAACAGTATGGTGTTTCCTGAAAAAATTAAGAATAAAGTTACCATATGATCCATCAATCCCTCTTGTAAGAACTGTAGGCAGGGACTCAAACAGATATTTGTACACCCATGTTGCATTATTCACAATGGCCTAAAGGTGGAAGCAACCCAGGTGTCTGATGGATGGATAGATAAACAGTGCGGTATACAGTGAGCTATTATTCAGCCTTGGAAACCAGGAAATTCTGACACATGCTACAACATGGATGAATCCTGGGGACATTATGCCAAGTAAAATAAGGCAGTCGTCAAAAAAAAAACAAAAAACACACAAGTATTGTGTGAACCCACTTAGATGAAGTAACTCCAGTAGATTCAAGAGGTAGAAAGTAAAAGTGGTGGTTGTAGGGGAGATGGGGAGAAGATGTTTAATGAGTATGGAGTGTCAGTTTCGCAAGGTGAAGAGAGTTGTGGAGATTGATTGCATAGCAGTGTGATGGTACTTGATGCTACTGAGCTGTGAGCTTAAAAATGGTTACAATGGTAAGTTTTATGTTAGGTATATTTTACCACAATAAAACATTAACAAAATGAAAGTTTTTGAGCCAAAAAAAAACCCCTCAGGAGTGGATCATGTGAGTGCCTGGCAAAGGCAGTGACTGAAGCTAAGAGAGTGAGAAAAAGTGAGATTGCAACCTGATTGGCCAAAAAGGAAAGGAGTCGGGGCATTCACAAGAATCCCTCTTCAGGGGTCTCAGTCCAGAGTGAACCTCACCTTCTGTCTGTTGCTCTTTTATTTTACCTCAGACTTGAATTTGGGAGGCGTCCTTTTATTTCCTATTGATGATAAAGAGTCAAGAAACAAAGGGCAAGATTTGGTAAGTAAAAAAACACCTCTTATCAGACCTAAATTTTGGCTCACATCACCTCCTCCTAAAACCTCTCCTGTTCCTGCTGGCCTTTAGTTGCATGGGCTGTCATAATAAAACACCAAAACTATACTTTCAGAAATCATTTCTATAGTTTGTTATAAAACATCACCAACTAGGTGGCTTAGAAAACAGATTAATTTCTTCGCAGTTCTGGAAGCTACTGGGCCAAGATTAAGGTGCTGGCAGGGCTGATTTCCTCTGAGGCCTTTCTCCTTGGCTTAGGGGTGGCCACCTGTGTGTTTCCTCACACAGTCTTTCCTCTCTGTGTGCACATCACTGGTGTCTCAGTCTATGTCCAAATTTCTTCCTGTAAGCACAGAAGTCAGACTGGATCAGGCACCACCCTAATGGCCTCATTTTAATTTATTTTCTTAGGCCCTGTCTGCACACACAGTCACATTCTAAAGTACTGAGGGTTAGGGCTTCAACATAGGAATTTGAGAGGACCCAATTCAACCCATAACAAGCAGGTTGGGCCTCACACTCCACCACACTCCCTCCATCCTCCTTGCTTCTGTCCATCACAGCCCCTGGAACACTGTCCTTTAACTTGCTTGTTCTCGGCACATACCTTAGGCAGGCTCCTCCTAAGAGTGTGGACTCATCCTGTCGTTTTATCCTCAATACCTCACAGAGTACCAGCTTATAGGAAATGCTCAGGAAACACTGAATAAGAAAACATGACTCAGAACTCCAAGCATTTCATCATTTACTATGTGAAAAGTTGTGTAAAAGATTGTGTTTAGTAGCCAGCCATAAGCAGGGGAGAGGAGCTGATCCATAGTTCCCTCTGCCTATATTAAAATTCTCCTTTGGGGGCACCTGCGTGGCTCAGTCAGTTAAGCGTCCGACTCTTGGTTTCAGCTCAGGTCATGATCTCAGAGTCCTAAGATTGAGCCCTGCAATGGGCTCTGTGCTGAGCATGGAGCCTGCTTAAGATTCTCTCCCTCTGCCCCACCCCCCACTCAGGCTTTCTCTTTCAAAAAAAAAAATTCTCGGGGCACCTGGGTGGCTCAGTCATTGGGCGTCTCCCTTCAGCTCAGGTCATGATCCCAGGGTCCTGGGATTGAGCCCCGCTTCGGGCACCCTGCTCGGCGGGAAGTCCGCTTCTCCCTCTCCCACTCCCCCTGCTTGTGTTCCCTCTCTCGCTGTGTCTCTCTCTGTCAAATAAAAATAAAATCTTAAAAAAAAAAAAAATTTATCTTTTTGCATCTGAAGTGTCTCTTAACTTAACCAGTCCTCTAGAATTCCTCTAAGATGTTTTATTAACCACACTTAACCTGACTTTCTCAAGGGCCTGAATTCATATTCAATTTAGAGCCAAATCTTACTGACTTAGTAATTTAGAAACTGGGCTGAAAGGGACATATATTTTCTTGAGGCTGACAGCAAAGTGGCTTCTGCCTGCTCGTTTTTTCAGTCATTTCTAAAATGCTAAAAAATGTGAACAACACAGTGGTTATGGCACAGATGCTCAGAATCCAGTGACTCAAGAAAACTATTTACAACTGGTTATCATATGGTGGTAGGGATGTCAGTCCCAGACGCTCCCTTGACACTCTCTCCAGTCTCCCCCACTTAGGTTAGGACAGAGATGGGATGGGGGTTGGGAGCTGACTCGAGCATCAGCCAGAGGGCAGGATATAGGAACCTGTAAGGTCCTTTCTGCTCCTAAGACTGAAAAATTCTTTCTTTACCATTGAGAGCACTTAGGAAAGACAGCATGTTTTGGACGCTGGTTTTAACATACCTTAAAATGAAGAAGAAATGCTTGTGTATAAAGTTACCACAAAATAAAACAATGACGATAGAAGATTAAGTCATGAATTTGGTAGGACATGGTCCAGGCAGAGCCTCCAAAGAAGATGGAGACGAAGCCTCCTCCATGGGCAGGTCACTTAGTTGACAGTGCAGCCTTCTTGGGTCATGTTAACCATGTGATGGCTGTTCCTCCTAGTTGGCCTTGATTGTGGCTCAGCACCGTGATCGCTCCAATGTCCTGTCTGGCATTAAGATGGCAGCCCTAGAAGAGGGCCTGAAGAAGATCTATTTAGCAGCAAAGAGAAAGAAAGGTAAGCTTTTCAGGAGATGACTTTCTGTTTCCAGGCATGTGATAGGACTTTTTTTTTTTTATGTTATGTTAATCACCATACATTACATCATTAGTTTTTGATGTGGTGTTCCATGATGGTGAGAAATGTTAAGACCTCCTTCAATATATATGGTAAAGGTAAGCCCCCATATAAGAGACCGCACAAGTGGACCACATCATCTTGATTAGCCTGTTTTTCTTTCCAGATCACTTTCATTATCTCTGTGGACCATCTCCCTGCACTGGGGTATTTGTGTCATGATTTTACAGATGAGGAAGCAGAAGACCAGAGATGTAGTAATCTGGTCAGATGCAATTGGGGAATGCTGTTTATCCTACCCCTTCCCCTCTTCACACCCAGGCCACAGTTCTCTGCCAAAAGTCAGAGTGAAGTTTTATTTCCAAATAAAACTCAGAGTTTGTTGAACTGATTGACCTGTTAAAGAATCTGTTTATTTTGGGGCGCCTGGGTGGGTCAGTCAGTTAAGTGCCTGACTCTTAATTTCAGTACAGGTCATGAGCTCAGGGTCGTGAGATCGAGCCCCGCCTCCAGCTCTGCACTGAGCATGGAGCCTGCTTCAGATTCTCCCTCTCCCCCTTCCCTCCTCCCTCTCTCTTAAAAAAAAAAAAAGTTTTTATCTCCAACATTGATCATATTCTGTTTTCATTGTACTTGCTTATTTCCAGAGCCTGTAGGTCTTTGTGTTTAATAGAATTACTTAATTTTTCCTATTATAGTCCCGCCCCAGAATATTTTTGACATTGTAATTTTATGCTTTGTGTGGGATACCCCATGATTATGTGCATTTTGTCTGTTGGAAACCACAAAGTGACTAAGAGTATAGTTTTATGTATATTTTATACTGAATCAAGTTTTTGATGAATGAAGACATCATAATCTATTTTTTTCCTCTTTAACAGCGAGTGTTCATCTTCCACGCATTGGACATGCCACGAAAGGTTTTAACTGGTATGGTACTGAGCGACTGATTCGGAAACACTTGGCTGCAAAAGGCATCCCAACTTACATGTATCCTTTTGTGATCTTACTAGTGTGTTCTCTCAGCTCAGAGAAAAGGTCTTGGATTTTCTGGTATCACTAATCAAGGTCAAGCCTTCTTCTGCCACATTTTTTACTCTGCCCTTCACCAGTGAAACAAAAACGAAGAAGTACTTTGTAACTTGTACATATCCAAGGAGATGAATACACCCAAGCATTTCTGGGTTCCAGCAGCTAGGAGTATATGGGGTTGGGAGTTCATTGAATAATTGTCATTTGTATATGAGGGGGAGTTCAGTGAATAATTGTCATTTGATAACATTGAATCTTTTCACATTAGGTCTCTAGAGATCCTTCAGGCCTGTAGACAAGGCTCTGTTCACTAAAGTAAACAATTAAATGAGAGAACTGTTTTACTTTTGAACCTATTCAATGTATTCTTAGGGTGCAGTGTGAAATTCTTTTTGACCACTAGGATATAATCTAGTACTGCTAGACTAGTATTTTCTTCTAATGATCTCCTTACTGTATCAGTTAGCAGTGTTTGAACTATTACAATGAGTCTAAAAAAATCACTAGAAGCTGAACTGACCCCAATCATAAAGAAACTCCATCTTTTTACTTATATACTTCGATACAGTGTTGTTTTTCACGACGTGTAAATCACTGTAAAAATTTAGCAGAAAAGTCCTGTTTTGTATGCTTGTACAATTCAAGCAGTATCAAAAGAGTTTAATAATGAGATAACAATAGCAGTAATGAGTACTAACAGTATTGGAAGAATTTATGATATAGTGAAAGGGAATTAAGGCATGCTACTTTCAGAGTGAATATTTCAATAATTACTAAACTAGAAAAGTAGCAGTTCTAGTAAAGTTGATTTTAAAGTGATGAAGTAGATCTTCCTTGACTCTCCTTATCAGCTATTACTTTCCTAGAAGCCAGGCAGCTCTTCTTCAACCACAGTCCTCTTCTTCCTCGGGACAGATGGTGCCTTAACAGTTGGCCAGTGTCACAGTCAGCATTCAGCAAGCAGTTAATATTTGCCCAGAGCTACTGAATTAGAGTGTTTCAAAAAGGAGTCCAGATCTGAGAAACTGTGTTTTCTGAATTCTCATTTTGTTCTCCAGGATGTGTTACTCTGATTTGGTACCTGTAATACAGGGATGCACACCTTAATTGGGAAAGTCCTCTGGCACTTTGCCAGGACTCCAGTTTGCATAGTTACTTGCATAATAAATTTTCTGTCTGTAATGGTTTCATGGCTTTCTTTCTCCTCAATCCAGTTTTCTTCCCCTCCATCAGACTTACTCCTTTACAGAGGACTAGGCTGTGGATTAAGGAGAAATGAAACCGGTTGCTGTGGGAGAAGGAAGCACCTTCAGCCCATTTATGCCTTGGGAAGACAGGACTCTGCAGGGCAGATACTGAGAAGTGAGATTCCTGATCCAGATGAGTGGAGCCCTTCCTGCCCTTCTTTTCACACTGCTTAGCATCAAGCTCTAGAAGACAAAACATTGGCCTAGAGGCCTGTCAAATGTGACTTCAGAGAAACCAGAGGATCACCTTTCCCCCTTCCCACCAAATTGAATTCAGCTTAAAGAAAAGGGAATTGTGGGAATGGCACAAAGCACAGAATGATGACTAGTGTTATTAGGGAGGGCAGGGGCTGAGAACTCCAAGGGAATGAGTCTTGGGGGGAGACAGTATATAAACTGTGGCTTTTCCTACTTTTGTATATAAAGCCTCAGTCTTAAGAGGCTGACTATCGGGGCACCTGGGTGGCTCAGTTGGTTAAGCAACTGCCTTCGGCTCAGGTTATGATCCTGGGGTCCTGGGATTGAGCCCTGCATTGGGCTCCCTGCTCAGCCAGAAGCCTACTTCTCCCTCTCCCTCTCCCCCTACTGGTGTTCCCCCTCAGGCTATCTCTCTCTCTCTCTGTCAAATAAATAAATAAATAAATAAATAAATAAATAAATAAAAATAAATAATAAAAAATAAATAAAAAATAATAAATAAAAATAATAAATAAAAATAATAAAAAATAATTAATAAAAAATAATAAATAAAAAATAAAATAAATAAATAAAATCTTTAAAAAAAAAACAACTGACTATCCTCAACCAGCCTGACTTATGCTGCTTTTAGGACCTCAACACCCTGAGTCCTGCAGAGACCTCTTCAGAAGCCCCAGCCCTGGGCCCTTGATTTCAAGGAACCCTGGCTAGTGGGGCAGCCAGCCAGGACCAGGACCTTCTAAGGAAGGTGGTATCTATAGCACCTGGGTCGTGCTGTTCTATTTGACTCCCTCCCTGGCACTTTCACCCTTCGACAATTTAGCATCTGTGTCGAAGACCTATTAGACCCTAAATTCATGATTCCTTCATTTTTTTTTTCCTCCTAAAACTTCTTTCCTTTTTTAGAGAGAATCCAAAGCAGGCTCCATGCCCAGCATGGAGCCCAATGCAGGGCTTGTTTTCAACCCTGAGATCATGACCTGAGCCAAAATCAAGAGTCAGAAGTTCAACTGACTGAGCCACCCAGGTGCCCCAAACTGCTTTCATTTTTGCTGCCTCTTAATTCCTACTCTTACTGCTAGGCCTTGACATACAGGTTATTATCATAACTTTAACCTCTTGACTGGCATCTTGTCTCTCCTATAACTAAACACAGAATTGGAACTCTTTAAAGGGAGGATAGTGAAACTTAACCTAATGCACAGGTAAATTGTCAGACCTTCAGAAGCAGCCTCGGTACAAATTGGTGAGGTATTAGCAAAATCAAAGAAAACTTGATTTGCAGAAGCTCTATGCTCTCCTGGAAAGCTGTGCTCACTTCTGAGGGCAGCGTGCACAGGGCCAACTGGGGATGTTTCTGAACATCTGAGAGAAGCATCAGAGCAGGGAACTCACTCTCAAAGAGAACACAGCTGACCTTTGAGGGGCACAGTTCTGGGGGTAGAGGTGCTTTGTTTTCACCCTGCACTCTGTCCCCCATGCTCCAGCCATGTGAACTTTTTCCTCTGGTTGGAGGTCCTGGGCCATGAACCTCTGTCTCATGATAAGTTGGGCAAAATAACACAGAAGATTAGAAAACTTAACATAGCGCATTCTCCCTTACACAGGGTCACTTGTTAGTGGCAGCCCCCTGCTTTGCTTGTCTACCTCAGCAATTCAGAGTCATCAACACTGCCTTATGGCTCCATAAGTCCTTCCTACCTTTTATAATCCCTCCCCTTTTCCAATAGGGCTGTCATTCTCTGGGAAAGACAAAAGCTACCTACTCTGTTCATTCCAAGGGTTTTATTCTCTTTCTTCCACAGCTTATTGTAGGGTCTCTCCCGATTGGATGGGGGCCCCAAATGGGCAATGATTGGGTGGAAGCCGGTGGGTGACACGGGCAGTGAAAAGAATTCTCCTGGAGATTGGAGAATTCCAATGTGTAAGGAGGCAGTGGGTGGGAGCTGTTTTTTCGGTTGTTGTTTTTAGATGGGGAGGTGGGGGCAGAGGGAGAGAGAGAGAATCTTAGGCCCCATGTCCAGCATGGAGCCCAACATAGGACTCGATCTCATGACCCTTTGATCATGACCTAAGCTGAAATCAAGAGTCTGATGCTTAATGGACTGAGCTACCCAGGCACCGGGTGGGGGCTGTTTTTAAAGAGGGAAGGTGAGGAGGTATGGCAATATATGGAATTTTCCCTTTTTTGGTAACTGTGCCTGGTTGTAAACCCATTGGTCAGTTAGGGCCTATGGATATTTTGAGGTGGGTTGCCTGATGGGCTTGTCTGTATTCAGCCAGGGGTCACTGAAGGCCCTTTCTATATTACATCACTCAAGCCTCTTTGCCTTAAAGTAGCCTCTATATTTATCCTTGATGCCCTCTAGCCTGACCCTTTGAGGAGGCTAAGACATGGGTATGAGGACAATACAAGGTTTTATTCACTGATGAGCTTCTGTGGAAAAGTTTGTACCTCTACATAAGTATGAAAACTCTGCTTATTGAGATAATGAGGATCTTAAGTCTATTGAATTTCTTCCATATGTACAATCTGATATATTTTCTTGATTTTTAATAAACTGCCCGTTACCTTTTGTAACAAGCCTGTGACTTAATTTTTTCCCCCCAATCAAAGTGTATACTAAGTTAATTAACCTTTTTCAAGTATAGCTTCAAAGCATTTTATAGCCCCAAACCATCTCTAGGCCAGTGGGTTTTCTTTGCTGTCTACTAACTACAGTATATACTCAAGCACTGCTTACCTTCCACATAATCTAACCTTATTTCCCAAAGACATCCTGCAGTTTCTCACTTCGGCTTTTGCTCATCATGTTAGTTCCTCTCCCTGGACTGCCGTACTCCTCTAAACCCCTTCCCCTGTCTCCAACTCTCCACTGTCCCCTATCAGGTCTGGTTTTCTGTAAGAATCTAGAAAAAGGCATTTCCTGTAATAGTATAAAAATTTAATCTGTGTTTGAACTGCTAATGATAATTATGTTATAGCACTTTCTTTGTTGTAGCTCGTATTATATTTATTGGTCTATTTACTTAACCCTTGGTGAAATAGTAAGGTCTTTAAGAAAGATGATTTCTCATATTGCACAAAGTGGTTGGCAGGCACTCAGATATATTGAAATGGTATTGAGATAACTGGCTAGCAATTTGGGGAAAGTGTCAGACTTCCCCCATATATTATAAACTCCAGATGGCTTAAGTATTTTTTTTTTCAAAAATTTTTTAAAGATTTTATTTATTTATTTGACAGAGAGAGACACAGCGAGAGAGGGAACACAAGAAGGGGGGAGTGGGAGAGGGAGAAGCAGGCTTCCTGCGGAGCAAGGAGCCCTATGTGGAGCTCGATCCCAGGACCCTGGGATCATGACCTGAGCCGAAGGCAGCCACTTAACCAACTGAGCCACCCAGGCGCCCCTGGCTTAAGTATTTAAACATAAAACTCAAGAAGACAGAAACTTGTCATTTTTATGGTGTCTGACTAGCAACTGCCCTTTGAAGCTTCATAAAATTCACTAAAATACCAATGGCATTAAGGTGAAGACTCATAACCACACTGAAAATAGACAACCAACCAATCAAATGCCAGAATATGAGAGGAAGTGACACTAGTTATAAGGGCAAGTTGAACTGAGATTTCATTTTAGGAAGCAAAGATGGCTTAAAAACCAAGGACCTTCACCAACCAGAAAATAAGCAACCATCCCTTTATCCCGAGTTACTCTGAAGGTGTCCACATCTGCTCCCAGCCTTTCTTTCCCTGTTAACAAAAGGCCGACCCTCCCCCATCTCAGCTGTAAACTGGCCCCTCCACCCTTCTCAAGAATGCAATTCTACCAATTCCTTTGTTTATACATTCAATTTCTTCTTTAAATTGAAAACTTCCATTGAGAAAAAAGGTCAAGTCTTTCCCATTTAAAAAGAACTCCATTCCTTATTCTCTTCCCCTATCAAACCTCAAGAGTTGTCCATAATCTGTCATTTCTTCACTTCCCTACTCACTCTTTAACCCATATCATTCTGTCTTTCTGCACTTTACACCACCAAGAGTCTGTGTTAAGAATACCATCAAGCTCAGGGCGCAGGGGTGGCTCAGTCGGTTAAGTGTCTGCCTTCTGCTCAGGTCATGATCCCAGGGTCCTGGGATCAAGCCCCATGTCAGGCTCCCTGCTCATGGGGGAGTCTGCTTCTCCCTTTCCCTCTGCCTGCTTGTGCTCTCTCTCAAAGAATACTATCAAATTCCAACTCACTAAATCCAGAGAACAATTTTTAGTTTTCATCTTGACCTGTCAGCCAAGCTTAACACTGTTGACTGCTTCCCACACTTGAAACACTCTTGCCTCGACTTCTGTGACAAAACACTCTATTATGAAAAAATAATCTCCAGGAATTATCTTCTACCATCTTTGTACAATATTCCCCCCACAATCTTTTTTTTTTTTTTTTTAACCTAGTGTATTATTTTGCTAGAGCTGCCATAACAAAACCACAGTCTTGGTGGCTATTGAACAATGGGAATTAATTTTCTCTTAGTTCTTGTGGCTTTGAAGTACAAAAATCAAGGTGTCAGCAGATTTAGTTTCTCCTGAGGCCTCTCTCCTTGGATTGCAGACGGCTGCCTCCTTGTTATGTCCTCACATGGTTTTACTTCTGTGTACACTCCCTCCTGTTGTTTCTCTGTATGTCCAAATTTCTTATGAGACAGCAGTCAGATTGGATTAGGCCCCACTCTACAGTTCTTGTTTTAACTTAATTGCCTCTTTAAAGGCACTGTCTGCAAATACAGTCACAATCTGAGGTACTAGGGCTTCAAATACAAATTTTGGAGGACAATTCAACCAGTAACACCTAGCCATTAAATGTTGGAGTTCCTGAAGGTTCATTTCTGGGTCCCTTTGTCCTTCCATTCTGAACTCAAGGTTATTTCATCCATTTATAAATGTGTGAGTCATCTCATAGCTAGCTCAGCTGTCTCTTCTGAACTCCAAGCCTATATACTCAGCTGCCTACTTGACATGTCTAATGAATATCTTAAAGGGATCATAAATTTACATACCCACAATTGAGTTAACTCAATCCCTTTCAGTTCTCCCAAATACATCCATTCAGTTATGCAAGTCCACTGTGTAAAAGTTATTTTTCATGTATCTCTCATCTCCGTTAAACTGAATCTATAATCAAGATCTAGCAATTTAGCTTCATAAGTATCTCTTGAATTCTTTCACTTTTCTTCATCCCCACCATCACCTTAGTGTTGATCATCATTATTATCTCACCAGGACAACTGCAAGCCCTTCTAACTCTCTTTATATTGACTCTCACTCCCTTCCAATCTGATTGCCAAATTGCAGCCAGAGTCATCTTCTCATAATAAAGTCAGATCCTGTCATCACTCATCTTAAAACCTTCAGTGGCTTCTCATTGTTCTTAGGGTGAAAATAAAAATCCTTAGTATGACTTATTTTCTGCATCCATTGACTGCATATTCTAAACAATTTGGAGAGAGTACATTCTAGTTCCTACCAAAATGTCAAATTAACCTGGGCTCAGCGTGGAATCTAAGAAATAATACAAACATAAAAGATCCCAGGGTGGATGGACACTTTTAAACTGGTTTATAGGGATAGTTGGTGACTGGTGTGGCTCTGGGAGGCTGTTCAAGAAAAGCTGTTCTGATCATGCCACCACCACCCCACCCCGATTTTCCCTTGGATCCATTGTTGCCTGCCACGTTCCTAGAGAAATTCAAGAGGAGCCCAGATACCCACAAGGGTAAAATCAGGGCAGGAAAAAAACCCTTGGGGCCAATAGATTGGGAATGAACAGCCTCAAGCACCTACTCCTCTACCCTTTTCAAATCCCCAGAGCTGGTAGATAACAATCTATGGAGTGCCCCTCTCCCCAGTATTGTTTTTCCATTTGAGAGTTCAAAGGTGAAGTTCAGATCTAAGGAACTGCTAGATAGAGAAACAAACAAAAAAGGATGACAGTGGATCTGTGGTGCCTGAGTCTCCCTGCCCTAGGGCTCTTTCCCCTCCTCTGTTCTAAAGCTCACCAGGGCTGAGGATCTGAATGTCTGGACTGGATCTGGACACGTTTACCCTTCTCCAGTGCACTTTAAAAGATAGGTTAGTCAGACATTCCCAGGGTAATAAAAGAAGATACCTGAGGGTTCAAATTGCCTCAATAGAAAAAGTTAACATCAAAAAAAAAAAAAAAAAATTAGAACAGAGAAACTAAGAATTTCCAATATGTAAAATAACTATATTGAAAGACCTAAAGGAAGATACCAGCAACATGAAATTAAAATTATAAAAAAGAATCAAATGGAAATATTACATATGAAAAACATGAAAAAATTCAAAAGATTGGGTAAATAGTGGAATAAATAGATATCTCAGAAGAATGAATTAGAGTTAAAAATTAATAAGATTGAGGACCTTCCAAAAGGAAATAGAAGAATAAGTAGAAAAGTAAAAGTACATTATATATACACATACATATGTGTATGACAAATTTCTCATAATTAAAGATGAATTCCTTGAGATTGATAGTGTTCATAGAAAACAAGTAAAAGCAGTAAAAACACCTTAGATGAGATGAGAACCCCCCCACAGCTAGACACATTATGGTGTAATGTCAAAAACCTCAGAGTTTACCACAAAACCATTTTAAGAACACTTTTGGCAGAATTATTCAAATAAGAGGAATAAAACCAGCAGAGGCTCCTTTGGCCAATGTACTACCTTGCTGTTTCCTTCATTCCACTTGAAGAACTTAATATGTCTGAGGATCTTTTTATTATTCATACACATTTGAATGACTTTTGGGCTGATATGAGATGTTTCAAAGTTCTTTCTTTTAGTACTTTAAAAATAGTACCTCATTGTATTTTTGCATATGCTGTTGCAGATGAGAATTGGAGGATATGTTGGGGATAAAACCAAGAAGTGGTGTCTTTATTTAGAGGGAAGATATAAATACCAATTTAACAACTCCCTTCAAAACAAAACAAAACACAACAACAACAACAAAACCCTGGCAGATTGACATAAAAAAAGTAAACTGGTAGAAGGAAATCAGTATGTAGTTAATCAGTAAATGCAAATACAGTAAATAGCCAATTAAGAGACTAAGCTTCTCCATAACAACATCTTTCTAGATAGGTCTCCTGAGGCAAGGGAAACAAAAGCAAAAATAAACTATTGGAACTTCATCAAAATAAAAAGCTTCTGTACAGCAAAGGAAACAACCAACAAAACTCAAAGACAATCTACTGAATGGGGGAAGATAGGGCAAATGACATATCTAATAAAGGGTTAGTATCCAAAATATATATAAGAAAATATACACCACCAACAACAACAAAAAAATTCAGTTAAAAAATGGGCAGAAGACATGTACAGACATTTCTCCAAAGAAGACCTACACATGAAAAGATGCTCAACATTATTCATCATCAGGGAAATGCAAATCTAAACCACAATGAGATATCACCTCACACCTGTCAGAATGGCTAAATGAAAAACGCAAGAAACAACAAATGTTGGTGAGGATATGGAGAAAAAGGAACCCTCATGCACTGTTGGTGGGAATGCAAACTGGTGCAGGCACTGTGGAAGACAGTATGGAAGTTCCTCAAAAAATTAAAACTAGGGATGCCTGGATGGCTAAGTTGGTTAAGCGTCCAACTCTTGATTTTGGCTCAGGTCATGATCTCAGGGTCAGGGGATCAAGTCCCACATTGGGCTCCTCAATGGGTGTAGAGCCTCCTTAAGATTTTTCTCTCTCTCTGCCCACCCCCATTTCTGTCTCTAATAATAAATAATAATAATAACTACCCTATGATCCAGCAATTGCACTTCTGGATCATGAAGAAATAAACTGAATCATGAAAAAATAGAAATTTCGAATAGACAAATTACTAGTAAGGAGATTGAATCAGTGATCAAAAACTTCCTAATAAATACAAGTCCAGGACTTGATGGCCTTACTGATAAATTCTACCAAACATTTTAAAAGAATTAATACCAATCTGGGGCACCTGGGTAGTTCAGTCAGTTAAGCATCTGCCTTCAGCTCAGATCATGATCTCGAGGTTCTGGGATCGAGTCACGTGTCACGCTTTTTTTTTTTTTAATTGAAAAATAAAAGAGGAATGTAATACTTCCAAACTCATCTTTACAAGGTCAGCATTACCCTGATACCAAAACCAGACAAGAAAAGAACAAGAACATTACAGGCCAATATCCCCAGTGAATGTAGATGAAAAAAATCCTCAATAAGATATTACCAAACTGAATTCAAGAGCAAATCAAACTCAACCATAGGATAAAAACTGAGGATTGCTGGAGGGGCAGGGGTGGGGAGATAGGGTAACTGGGTGATGGACATTAAGGAGGGCACATGATGTAATGAGCGCTGGGTGTTATATAAGACTGATGAATCACTGAACTCTACATCTGAAACTAATAATATAGTATATGTTAATTGAATTTAAATTAAAAAATATTCTGTCAAAAAAATAAAAATAAATTAAAAAATAAAAAAATTTTTTTTAAGAAATGGAAAAAAAAAATCACCTGGGAGGAAATTAAATAGATCAGCTATCTCTACAGATGGGTCATAGAGAGTTAAACAGAATATAAAATTTATTTTTGTAGTCCCATATGGAGATAAGTGGATTTAACAAAGAAAAAAATATCCTTGAAAAAACAAAACCATACATACAAGGTCAATATAGTGGTTAAATTGTCATCAACTCTTACCCTTCCCTGCATCCATGTCTTGTCTCTGGCCTCATCATGGGGAGAATATACATCAACACTCCTGGACTTTGGGTGGCTATGTGACCTACTTTGATCAATGTAATGTGGGTTAAAATGATAGTCTGCAATTCTAACCTTCAGTCTTAAGGCCTCAATTTCTGTTTTGTTTTTTTAAGATTTTATTTATTTATTTGGCAGGGAGAGAGAGAGAGCACAAGCAGGAGGAGCAGCAGGCAGAGGGAGAGGGAGAAGCAGGCTTCCCACTGATCAGGGAGCCTGATGTGGGGCTTGATCCCAGGACCCTGGGATCATGACCTGAGGGGAAGGTAGACACTTAACTGAGCCACCCAGGCGCCCAGGCCTCAATTGTCTATAGTTGCTCTCTTTCCCTATGTAGTCACCATGTGATGTTCTACTGAGTAGCTGCTGTCCCATTAGCCTATACCTTAGAGCAACACATGTAAAGCAGAGCTATCCCCAGCTGACCAGCAGAACTGTAGTGAGAGGCATGTCTCCCTCAGCCTTAAAACAGAGGGCTTGTAGAAGAAATAAATGCTTATTGCTGTATTCCACTTAGATTTTTGTGGTTGTTTGTTATGCAGTAAAAGCTTACTAATACAGACAATAAGAAAATAGCCATTTCACTTTAACACTTGCAGATACTAGATATAATAATGGAATTTCTGACCCTCCCATTAATTTGATCCCAGAAGCATAATATAGTTTGCACATACTTGGAAGAAAGTCAACTAATATTTGGGTTGCCACCAAAGAATTGCACAATGTATTAGATGAGATATTATTTGATTATAATAAAATAATATATGGAAAATATATGCCAAGGAAATACTAACAGCAAGAAATTGGGATTAGCAAATGTTAATTTTAGTCAAAATATAATTCAAAACAAAGGACCAAAGAAATATACCTTACATGGATAAAATGTATAAGAGAAATATAACTATCTTTTTTTATACCTACAATAGATCTTTTATTTTTATTTTTTAAATATTTTATTTATTTATTTGAGAGAGAATGAGAGATAGCACAAGAGGGAAAAGAGTCAGAGGGAGAAGCAGACCCCCCACTGAGCAGGGAGCCTGATATGGGACTCGATCCCAGGACTCCAGGATCATAACCTGAGCTGAAGGCAGTCGCTTAACCAACTGAGCCACCCAGGCGCCCCCTACAATAGATCTTGA